TGTGTGCGCCTTAGAACACGTGTATTTAGGCTCTCTCTCTTTCTTTTCTTCTCTTCCCCTTTCCATCTCCATTTCCCTCTCTCTATCTCCCTCCAACTCCATCCCTACCCCCTATATTTCCCCTGCCCTTCCGCTCTCCCTCCATTAGTCCCTTCATCACTCCCTCCCTCTTCCTCCCTATCTCTCCCCTTCTCCCTCTCCGTTGCCCTCTCCCTCTACCTCTTCTTCTCCCTTGCCCTTGCTCTCTCCTTCTTCTTTGCTCTCTCCTTCTCCCTTTCTCTCCCACTCTTTCCCTCTCCCTCCCCTTTTCCCTCTCCCTCTCCCTCTTCCTCTTTCCCTACATCCCTCCTTTCTCTCCCTTCCCCCCACCTCCTTCTTCCTTCCCTACTCCCTCTTCCTTCCCTACTCCCTCCCTCCCTCCCTCTGCCTCTCCCTTCCCTTCACCTTACCCCTTCCTTTCCTCCTTTCTATCCCCCTCCCCCTCCCCCCCTATCCCCTCTATGCCACGTCCCCTGACCCGCGAAAGAAATCCAGTCTGCGTTAAAATCTCTTTAGAAAGCGTTGAAGGTCGCTCAGCCAACGAAGCGAAGCTGCATTAGCCCTAATAGCTTAACGTCAGCTGTGGACGCGCGTTCTGGGGTTTTGAATGTGTGAGACGTACGGGGGAGAGGCGGGGACGGGGAGGGTGGGAGGGGGAAACAGGCAGGGAGAGAGAGGGAAGAAGAGAAAGGGAGAAGGAGAGGAAGGGATAGGGATCGAGAGAGAGAGAGAGAGAAAGAGAGAGAGAGAGAGAGAGAGAGAGAGAGAGAGAGAGAGAGAGAGAGAAAGAGAGAGAAAAGGAGAGAGAAAGAAAGAAAGAGAGAAAATGAGAGAGAAAGAGACACAGACAGACAGACAGAGACAGATTAATTTCATACGTACTTACGTGGCAAGTGTCTTATAAAACATCATACACCTTCAGTGGCCTCTCAGCTAAGCGATTCGAGTTTCTCAATGTCCGAACAGGAGCCAAGGAATCCCTCAGCAGCTCTAGTCGTCCGAAGATAACCCTTTCCCTTCCTGCATCTCCCCGTCTCTCCCTTCCACCCCCAGTGTGCGGAAGCGAGTGCCCCGGAGGCTGTGTGGGAAGCCAGTGTTGCCACGAGGAGTGCCTCGGCGGCTGCCAACGCCCGCACTCCGCCACCAGCTGCCACGCCTGCAGGAACCTGCTCGACGAAGGGCGCTGCACCCAGTCCTGCTCGAGCCCTAAGTTCAAAGTAAGTTGGATGAGTAAGTTGTATAAATATAGTAACGTGAGAGAGAGAGAGAGAGAGAGAGGGGGGGGGGGGCATAGAGGGGCATAAAGGGGCAAAGAGGGGCATAGATAGAGGAGAGAGGAGAGAGGAGATAGATAGATAGATACAGAGAGAGAGACAGAGAGAGAGAGAGAGAGAGAGAGGGGGAGAGGGAGAGAGGGATGAGATAATTCATTTCCAAGAGTATGTATTTAAGCTCCCTGCACAGAGACACTAACTAGGGAGATGTATACTAACATTTCAGAATATTCGATTACCCTTTTACTGTTAATAATGATAGGGATGATGATGATGACAAAAATGGCAATGATGAGAATATTATTGAATAAAATTGCTAATATTAGTAATGTCATAGTAATAATGATAACAGTGATAGTGGTGATAATGAAAATAATGATAATAATAATAATGATAATAGATGTTATCATCATTGTTATTATCATTACTATTATCATAATTATTATTATTGTCATTATTACTATCATTATCATTATCATTATTATTATCATTATCATCCTTATTGTCATTATTATTATTGTATTATTGTTGTTGTTGTTGTTGTTGTTGTTGTTATTATTATTATTATTATTATTGTTATTATTATTATTATTATTATTATTATCATTATTATCATTATCATTAAAATCATTATTATCATTATTACTATTATCATTATCATCATCAATGTTATGGTAACAGTAACAACAATAGTAACATCAATGATTATGATGATGATGGTAATGATGATATCAATAACATTGATGATAGTTATAAGAGTAATTGATAATTCTGGCAGGTCAGGGTTGTTCAGTTAACAGGATTAAAGTAAATTACATTGTTTATATTCCGCGTTTAATATACGAATGTAACTAGAATAAGAAAAAAAAAATTGTGATATGAATGATTTAGAATGTTAAAATTAATAAATGCACAAAATGTATATTTATGTGGTAAAGTATCATTACAGTGTAAACTTATGAAAATAATAGTTATTGATTTACAAGCTGATTATAAATGACAAAGCAATATCAGAATATGTAAAACCAAGTATTCTTCTCTGTAAAATAATTTGTAATGAAAATATGTGAGTTAGTCACACTTTTGATACAATAACATACATAATCAGTGGTTAGGTACTAAAAAAATAGATTTGATGTAAACTGATTAATTTAATTGCATCATCACAGAAGTGACTCTTTAACAGAAACATCTTTGATATATGCAAACATGTAGAGTAAGGAGCTAACTCTTTCTTATGTAAATGTAAATTTCAATAGTGAGCGCTTGAATGACGTGGATCAGTGACAATGATAATTACTGATTAGTTAGACTGATTATGATATTATGAAGTACATGCTATGTTGTTGCACAAAAAAAAAAAAAAAAAAAAAAATAGTAAAATCATAAACACTTCTTCCTTACGTGTTTTCCCTGAATGAGAGCTTTGTAGGAACCAGCAAAATGCAATTGCTCTCTCTCTCTCTCTCTCTCTCTCTCTCTTCTCTCTCTCTCTCTCTCTCTCTCTCTCTCTCTCTCTCTCTCTCTCTCTCTCTCTCCTCCCCTCACTCCAGCTGAGAAACAACTCTTCAGCTACACAGTGTTTGCCAGAAAGCAACATCTCGAGACAAGTAGCACAGTCTGGTAACAGCATTGGAGACTCGAATGCAATCTCTCGGCTGCTTCGCTTCGTCCTCTCCTCGTAAAGTGTCTCGATTTTCCGGGCGGAAAGGAGAGGAGGAGAAAGAGATGGGAGAAGAGGTGGAGGCGGAGGAGGAAAAGACTGAAAAAAAAGAAAGGAGAAATAGGATTAAGTGAGAGAAGGGTGGGAAAGAGGAAGAAGAAGAAGGCGAGGAGGGGTTAGAAAGAGGAAGAGGAGGAGAAAGAGAAAGAGAAAAGCGTAAACGAGGAAGGAGTAAGCAATTAAGGAATGAGAAAGAGAAATGAGAGGTAGGAGGAAGCGAAGGAGAGAGGTAGGAAAGGGAAAGAAAGGGAGGAAGAGGGGGAAAGGGAGAACTCCATCCAAACTTTCCCGAGTGGTAATGGAGTGTCGCCCGGAGTGAATTCCTTCGGAAAGGTGTCGCCGGAGATACAGAATGAAAGGCCTCGTCAGCGCCGCTTCCTGAGGCCCGGGCGTCTCCCTCTCCGCCCGGACGACAGCTGGCGGAGGAATCGAAGTGCCAGTCGCCGAATCTCAGACTTTGTGATTTCAACTTACGGCGCCATAACTTCCGGGATTATCATAATCGCCGCGCCTGCCTGGCCGAGGAGATAAGGGGGGGGAGACGCAACTTTTGCCGGAGGAAACGGAAAATGGGAAGGTTTTGTGTTGCGCAAAAACTCTGGTGCTCTCCATTGCTGACTGACAAACGGACGAGAGCAAACGGTCTCTCTCTCTCTCTCTCTAGCGTAAACGAGGAAGGAGTAAGCAAATTAAGGAATGAGAAAGAGAATGAGAGGTAGGAGGAAGCGAAGGAGACAGGTAGGAAAGGGAAAGAAAGGGAGGAAGAGGGGGAAAGGGAGAACTCCATCCAAACTTTCCCGAGTGGTAATGGAGTGTCGCCCGGAGTGAATTCCTTCGGAAAGGTGTCGCCGGAGATACAGAATGAAAGGCCTCGTCAGCGCCGCTTCCTGAGGCCCGGGCGTCTCCCTCTCCGCCCGGACGACAGCTGGCGGAGGAATCGAAGTGCCAGTCGCCGAATCTCAGACTTTGTGATTTCAACTTACGGCGCCATAACTTCCGGGATTATCATAATCGCCGCGCCTGCCTGGCCGAGGAGATAAGGGGGGGGAGACGTAACTTTTGCCGGAGGAAACGGAAAATGGGAAGGTTCTGTGTCGCGCAAAAACTTTGGTGCTCTCCATTGCTGAATGACAAACGGACGAGAGCAAACGGTCTCTCTCTCTCTCTCTCTCTCTCTCTCTCTCTCTCTCTCTCTCTCTCTCTCTCTCTCTCTCTCTCTCACTCTCTCTCTGTCTCTCTCTCTCTCTCTCTCTCTCTCTCTCTCTCGCTCTCTCTCTCTCTCTCTCTCTCTCTCTCTCTCTCTCTCTCTCTCTCTCTCTCTCTCTCTCTCTCTTTCACACACTCACACACACATACATTTATTTTATGTATTCAAATTAGTTTGTTCCTTTATAATACGATCTGCATAACTGGTCACATTATCCCCGTCCCCCACATTAGCGAGAGATAACAAAAAATAAAAGGAATCTAGAGACAAAAGAAACAACACTAAAACACAACTCCGGACCCGAAGACACACTAACAATAAAGCCGAAATAACGAAGACGAATCGAGAAGCTCTAGCCCTCGCGTCCTCCTCCAGGTCCTGCAGCACAGGTGCGAGGAGAGGAGCTTCTGCCGGAGGAACTACATCATCAAGCTGGACACGAAGGAGTGCGTGAAGCGGTGCCCTTTGGGCTACAACGTGAGCAGCAACTCGGCGGGAGAGAGCCTCTGCGTCCCGTGCGAAGGTGAGGCGTCCCGCTGGCTTCGAGGGGGTCGGTCCGAGCACACGACGGCCTGTTGATATCGGCTCTTGGCCGAGAGGAAAGGGCGGGGTCGACCTCATGACTCATACAGACAGTGGTAAACCTGAACAATTCCAAGCTCCTTTTTTCTCCTTTTTACCTCCAGGCTCCGTGTGTCCGAAGGAGTGCGGCGCCGCCGTCGTGAAGAGCGTGAGCCGCGCCCAGGCGTTGCGGGGCTGCACCGTCATCAGGGGGGACCTCACCGTCAACATCAACGGCGGCGGTGAGTCGCTCCTCCGGCCGGCGGCTGCGTCGGGTCCGAGCGGGGACGCCGGTCCGCAGAGGCCGCAGATGCATCACACGTAGTGGTGGACACGCGCGCTAAAATACACATATATACATACACAACAACTTCAAATATACATTTTTCTCTTAACTAGTCTTTTGGCCTCTTAATTAAGTGATCATTACTGACATCCCCCTTCCTTCATTTTATTACCTCCGCCAAGGAGGTTATGTTTTTGACGGCGTTGGTTTGTTGGTTTGTTTGTTAGCAGCCTAGCTCAAAAAGTGCTGGCCGGATTTCATCGAATTTTTGGGGACAAGTCAGAAAGGGACTAACTTAGAACTGATTAAATTTTGGTGACATTCCGAATTACCGTCTGCTTATTATTATTATTATCATTATTTAATCAATAAAGGAGGTAACAAGTTCGGTACACAAATCTACGGTAAACGTATACCACATTTCACTGACATTCCGAATTACCGTCTGGACGCAGCAGCAGTGTAAGTAAATTATATACGCACCTTGGCGGAGGTCTGCACTCTCTGAGTGCTTTTCTAGTTAGTATTTATCTTCTTACACGCTTATAACTTACTTTAGTCCAACGCTCTCCCGTCTTCAAGGGCTTCCTCCCTATTATATCACCATCACAAGTAAGTGTCATGGTCATGAAAGACGGAAAAGGCAGCGATGCTGCCAAGGAAAGGCTCTCGTGTCGCCGTGTTATTGTACAAAAGAAAACCTAACCCTTTTGATGTATAAGGAAAGTTTACTTCCCACTTAGATGTGTCTGTTTGGTGGCGTCTTGTTCTTGATTCGCAAGCTGGTCACGGATGTGACAAAGAAGAAAATCTCTCTATCTATCAATCTATTTCTCTATTTCTCTGTCTATCTATCTATCTATCTGTTCTTCCGTCTCCCCCTCACCCCCTCTCCCCTTCTCTCCCTTTCTCCTTCTCTTTATATATCTTACATCACTATTTTTTTAGCATTTCTTCAACATAATGATTATGTAAACCATGAATGATATGACAATCTCATTTCATATGAAAATCTGTTTTGCATTTCGAGTACTATATATGTATAACTATACTATTAGTTATACATGGTTTTTCGGTAAAAATACCTTTGCCATAAATGGTATTGCACTGAATGATACTCTCATCTTCACACAATAATCGAACCTGTGCTCTTAACCCATTGGTGCCGGGTATGACGTGTAAGTACGTGCTATGCCCACCGTGAGTACTTGTTTGATTGTTTTCACGCATAGATGGCAACACTTGTACTAAATCACCAATGAGCCAACTACGAGCACCGCCCGTCTCGCCCGTTTACCCGTTTCTTTGATTTACGAATTATTTTACGTTATCTTATTTTGCTGTTACTAATGTTAAAAAACATTATAAAATTTATGTTTATGATAAAAACAACACCATCGATTTTCATAGCACTAGTGAAAAATACGTTTTTCCCGCCATTTCAAATCAGGCGCTAGCAGAGCCATCTATCGGCAGACATTTCACGAAAAACATAGAAAGTGGGCACAGCATTTTCCCCATTTTTTGTTCATCTTCCCCGGCACCATTGGGTTAATAGTCATACACGTGCTCTTAATAGATATGCAAAATATGTTGACGGTTATATAGCTGTCCCTAGGAATCATACTGCCATAACTCAAACACAAACACAGTAACTTGCACAGAAATTTTCGGAAATACACACAGGGATAAAAAAGGAAACAGCCAGATTCGGATTTCATTTCTTATTGTGGATGTTTCCATTTTATCAAAATATTGATCAAGAGAAGACCATGTAGAAAAGGTATGAATCAGAATGAATATCTTAGCAATACAAAAGATTATGTGACCGGTTTCGATTATACCTTTTTTTCAGAAATACATGATATAATTGAAACCGGTCAGAGGCATTTCTCGTGTTGCGAAGATATTCAATTTCATGCATACCTTTTCTTCACAATGAATACGGTTGAAAAAAGACCAATTATCTTTTTTTCCTCCATCAAGAAAATGGGAACTTCTTCCTCGACCTTTCCCTCTCTCTTTCCCTAAAATAATTTTAAAAAGGAGAGAGAAGGAGAGAAAGGGAGATAAAATGAAATACCTTAAACCTCTCTCTCTCTCTCTCTCTCTCTCTCTCTCTCTCTCTCTCTCTCTCTCTCTCTCTCTCTCTCTCTCTCTCTCTCTCTCTCTCTCTCTCTCTCTCTCTTCTCTCTCTCTCTCTATCTATCTATCTATCTCTCTCTTCCCCCCCCCCCTCTCTCTCTTCCCTAAGAGTGAAGGAAGAAAAGGGAATAAAACTTAACGAAAATAAAAACAGCTCTCTCCCTCGCCCCCCCCCCCCCAACAGAGAACATCGAGCGCGAACTCGAGGAGAACCTGAGCAGCATCGAGGAGGTCACCGGCTTCGTGAAGGTCTTCCGCTCCAACG